TATCATCTTATCAATATGATCTTCTAGACCCATTACTGATCTGCTACCTTCTGCTATTATTTTTTTGCCGTATTCTTTAGTCACTACTTCAACAAGTCTACATGCTTTCTTTCTGTTTCACATGTCTCTCTTATCTAATCTATTCTTATTAACTCTATCTATGCTCTATATTTTGTTTGATAATTATTCTCTTTGTTCAGATTTTTTAAATCTTATTCTATAAATGACTTCACCTTTTTTCAAAATTTTCCATAGGTTTATCCAGTTTGCCTGTAAACTATCTGGTTCTGGTCTTGCGTGATTTATCTCTGCTTTTTAATACATGACATGTATTTCAATACCATGTTTGTTTGTTTACCTGCTTTGTATATGTTTGTTTTATATAGCTGATCTGTATTTCAGGATGTTTTAGGATTTCCAGTTTTGTTCGCAAAAAATTTTCTTCGTAATGAGTTTTTGACGAAACTTCTTCTAAGTTACTTTTTAAACTTGAGTTTTTCTATTCTTCTACTTTTTTATATGTAATTTTACTTTTTGTATCTCTTTTCTTAATATGCTAAAGGGTGTTAATTAATGAGTTTGATAGTTTATCTATGTAGTAACCTTTAGCTCGATTTTGTGACCAAATAATCTATGGAGAGAGTTCTGGCTAACTCAAATTTTTCAAAATCTCTATTTATTTATTTATTTGAGTTTCAATTACACTAATTATTCTATTTTTGCTATTTTATTTTTTGATCTTTGCTATCTAGTATTACATAATAGTGACTATAATTTTCTAAAATTATCTGATAGGATTCTAAAAGAAAACTAGACTTCAGGCTTTTAAAATCTATAATTTACTAAACTAAAACATATTATCAACAAATAAAATTATAAGTTTAAGATCTAATTTTCCTTTAGCAACTTTAACATTTTTTAAAAAAAAAAGTATAAAAAAATTAAAAAAAAAATTGACTAACTAATCTAATTTTTTGATTCTATATAAGGCTATTTGTAATTTAGTTAATATTATTTTTAGAACTCTTGAGTAGAGGAGAAGAATAAAATTAAATAAATATTTAAAATGAATATATAGAATAAACAGATATAAGATAATTTGATTGATCAATAAAAATCAAAAGATTAATAAATACTATCTAGTATTTTGATTAGTTGTTTATTTCTCAAAAGAGCTTTCAGCTAAGGAAAGGAGTAATATTAACTAAAGAATTAACTTTAAATAGTCTAATGCAAAATGAAAAAATATCTTTACATAGCCTAATTAATTAATTGTATTTTTATTTTGTTTGTTATCTTTTACAAAATATTTTTCTTTAAAAATCTATAATAGAGATTTACTATCTTTACATTTATTAATATTAGAAGTTATTTTAGTAGAGATTACTTTAGTAAAAGTTGCTTCAGTTATTTCTAAACTTTTATCTTCATTACTAATTGAATTCATATTTGCTTTGTTACTTAAATTTATACTTGTATCTTTGATTAAATTATTTTTGTTTTTTATTATAGCTAAATAAAATAGATTAATAATTATATTACAAAGTGTCTAATTCTTTTATATATCAGTTACAAAATATACTGTTAATAATTCTATAGCTTATTTTTTTTTCAAAAAAAAAAAACTTATTTAACTTATTAAAAACTAGTAGCCTTTTATATAGATTTTTATATTTAATATTTAAATATTTTTTTTATAATTAAGATAAAAAATCAAATCACAAATGTTATTAACTCAAAAAGCAAAAACAAAGAATTCATATCATAATATCAAAGAAGATATATTTTTGGATATATATATATATATATATGCATGAAAGAATTATTTTATTAAATGTAAAAAATGGGGTTGGGTCCCATGGCTTAGTTGGTTAAGTCCTCAACCCTCCACAGACAAGGTCAATGGTTCGAGTCCAGTTGGAGGCATTTGCTTC